GCAGCCGCCTCTGCTCGGGAGCTGGCTGATAGCGGTTGCCACAGTGTGGGCCGCCGCTCGCTGCGATCTGTAGGAATGAGATCGCCAGGCCTTTCTTCCACGGCACCTCTCGGTAGGTTTGCACCGCTGCCCTTTGGGCTAACCTCTCGGTAGGTTTGCACCGCTGCCCTTTGGGCTAACAGCTGATGGTGCTCCTTGGAGCTAGCTGCTGGGATTCCCTTCCAGGTCTCCCTGTGTGGGCTTTGCATAAATGAGTTGGCCTTTCTGCGCCTCAGTGCCCCCCTCTCTGAGAAATGGGTGCTCACACCTTCCAGGTGGCTATGTGAGACGGTCGAGGGACTCCGCCATCAGGAGAAGGAATATTTGAATATTCTAATGAAATCTATTTTTAAAGCAAAATGAATGCCAAAAGAAAAAAAACTTCCACGATGAACAAAATGCCAAGCGCTTTAAATATAGACAGGATTCGCATCAGCCGATCTTCCTCTCAGCTCACCAGGGCGGTACCAAGGCTCACCGTTGTTTCAAAAAGATGGAACTTCGCAATAAAAATAGAGACACGATATAGAATCCAAAGAGTAAGACACAGCAGCAGTGCGGTGCTAATGATGCGTTTCTGGAAAATGGACGTTTTTGTTCCTTGTGATTTCTTTTTCGTTTGCTTAAAGGTTGACTTTCAGAGACATTTCACCAAAATATGTCATTCCAGTTAATCATATGACTTGACAGCTCAGCGGGGCTTCGGTATATTCACAAAGCTGGGCTGGTTTTAGAACAATAACCAAACCTGTTGCCGGAGGCTCCGACTACCAGAGTCCCTTCCAGACGGGCAGAGAAGTCCCTGTGGGTATCCGAGACAGTAACTCTTTACGGAAGGTAGAAAGCCTCGTCTCTGTCTCACAGAGCAGCTGGTTGTTCGAACTGCTGACCCTCCGGTTAGCAGCCTACCATGTTAATCACTGTGTCACCTGGTTACTCTCAGTGCCACTGACTCCTAGTGACCCTGTAAGACAGACTAGAACTGCCCCCGTGGGTTTCCGAGACGGTAACTCTTTGGAGGAATAGAAAGCCTTGTCTTTCTCCGGTGGAGCCGGCCCGGGGTTTCGAACGGCTGACCTTCAGGTCAGCAGCCCAACGTGTAACCGCCACACCACCGGGGCTCCTCACCAGGTTCCTAGTGGGTCCCACACCACACAGCTTTCACCCAGATGGCAAACTAGAAGTCAGTGGAACCACCTGATCGTTTCGTGGCGTGGCCACAGCCACGACCATGCTAAGAACGTGGGCGCCAGGAAGGAAGGTGTGGCTGGAGGACAGTAGTGATGGCGTCATTGGTGGCGCAGCCATTCAAGCCCTCGCCAGCTAAGCACAAGGTCATTGCTCGCACCAGGCCCTCTGAGGCAGAAAGGCCGGGCAGTTGGTGCCTGTGGCAATCATGGTCCGGGAGGTGCTCTTGGGTCGCTCTGAGTCCGAGTCCACTGGGAGGCAATGCTGTGTGTGTGTGTGTGTGTGTGTGGTTACTGTTTACAGTGAACTTGTTTGTCACAAGACTCCAGGTCCATCTCAGTTTCCCGTTTCCCTTTTTTTCTCCTAGCCCCTCGGACCGCTGTTTAAGCTTGGGGACTAAGGAGTCTGGAGGGAGAAGGCGCAAGCTTTTATTTCAGTTTCGGAAAGAGTAGACCTGCCCCATAGGAGCCCTGATGGCGTCGAGGTTATGCATTGGGCTGCTGACCTCAAGGTTGGCGGTTCAAAACCACCAGCTGTTCTGCAGGAGTGAGAGGAGGCTTTCTACTCCCGTAAAGCGTGACCCACAGGGCTGGTTCTACCCCCACCCATAAAGCGGCTGTGAATCTTGGGTGTGGACTCGGTGGCAGGAAGTTCGGTTGGGTTTTTGGAGCTGCGTTCTTGCCGGGACCAGATCTGCAGCTCTTCCCCGGCGGGAGCAGCTGGTGAGTGAGAACCGCCCTCCTTTTGGGGGGCAGCCACGCGCTGACCCACTGCGCCCCACCAGGCTCCCTGTGCAAACATTGCCACAGTCTGTTTCTGAATTTTCCTCAGCCTGGACGGCCTGGCACCAGTCCCTGGAGAAGGACGTCACGCTTGGTCGAGGAGAGGGGTGGCGGAAAAGCGGGCACAAACATACCCAAAGCTGCGGGGAGGGTGCCGGACGAGGCAGTGTGTCGTTCCGTTGTACACAGGGTGGCTGCGTGTCCGCACTGACTAGCCAGCCCCTGACAGCACCAGCAAAAGAAACCCCTTCTCGGAGCCCACTCAGTGCCCACCCACCCCCACGGGTCTACCTCCCGTTCTGTGGGTACTGCCGGCTCATGGCTAGGCCGTGGGTGGTCTTTTGTAGCCTTTCACCTGACACCCGGTTTCTGAGGGGCCTGCACACGGTGGCAGCACCAGAGCTGCTTTCCTGTCTCTTCTTGTTTGGGCCCGTGGCGTCGGTTCCGACCCAGAGCGACCTGGCGCGCAGCAGAACGAACGAAGCACTGCTCGGTCCCACGCCCTCCTCACCATTACAGTGAACCCTCGCCACTTCGCGCTTCGACTTCCGCGGCTTCACTCTATCGCGGTTTTTGCGTAACAGCGCATGCTCTCTGTCATGACTGCCACTGATTGGCTCATACTGTACACGCTTGATGCCATAAATAATATAATAAATAATAAATGATAATTGTAACGTCCAACATGATTTACTGTATTTTCCCTTTTTCGTTTAATAAATTGGGTAATACGAGTGTAATGGGGACTAAAGGGTGTTTTTTCATGTCCTCTATGCTCTAACTACGAAAATATTTGATTTACAAATAACGAATCCTACTTCGTGGAATTTCATTTATCACGGTAGGGTCTAGAACCGATTGACCGCGATAAACGA